CGTGTAAAATTCTTTTGAAGCAAGAACTGGTTTTAATTCCTGCACATGACTTAGATGGACATTAGTAGATCTGCAGGTGTTGAAGAGGAGCGTTTGAATGAATCCTGGCGTATGGGACCGTGGCTGAAGTTGAAAACACCTGTTCCTCTGAAGTTATCTCTCATGTTAAAATTCATTCATAACTCTAAAATTTCTTTCATATGTATCAGTTTACTGCTGTCATTTACAGATTCATTCTGTCCTCTTTTTGAAGGATCTTTCAAACAATCGTCTTGCAACTGTGCCTGCTGGTTTTGCTTTGCTGTCCAGTCTGCTGCGACTCAATCTTGCCAGTAACCAGCTGAAGAGTTTGCCAGCAGAAATAAGCAGAATGCAAAGTAAATCTCCATATTAAATACTGTATGCATTCATGGTTAATGCAACTTTCTTTTAGAAAAATAATAGGATAATTATAGAGAAATAAAGTTAATTTTTTTATTATTGTAAGTGCAAATGCTACTTTATAAGGTTTCTCCAGACTGTTAAATTAGGACCTGCCTAAAGAGTGACGGCCAGAAGATATGTAGGCCAATGGCAAAATGAAAGTATGGATGGGGCTATAGGAAACGCACACACTGGGAGCCTCACGGTGTTGTAGTGTTTATTCACCATCCCTTCCTTCTTAGCTGACTCAGCCTGTGCCGGCTGAGGATAGAGATGTAGATTTCCAGAGGCTTGGAAGTAGTGATATCAAAGGGGGGGGGGGGGGTCCTGAGTGCTTAGATTGTTAATCCTTTAAAAAAAAGAGAGAAAAAGAAAAAGAAAAGAAGTATCAGAAGGTAGTGCTTACCTCAGAGCTTGTAATTTAGAGCATAAAACATTTTTTGTTTAAAGACAGAAAACAGGGTTAGTATTTCTGGGTTCATGACTGCACTGCACCACCCATTGTAGACTTTGCCACAGCTAGTCTCTTTTTTGGCTAATAATCTGTAATACTTTTTTCAAGGAAATAAAATTATAAATTACATATTGAGAAGTTGGTGAAGATTTTTGAACTATGCTATCTCGTGTAACTCAGGCTAGCCTCAGACTTCTCCTTGATTTTCTTCCTGTTTCCACCTCCCTCGTGCTGGAATTACACGGGGTAGTTGTTCATATTTTTAAGTCTCTGTTTTATGAGAGAAGTCATAAAGTCATAGATGTGATTTTTCTACAAGTGATTGTAGATAAATTTGAATTAAATTGTAAGTCTTTGAAGTTTTACTTAAACTCTGCTATTATTTGGGGCATGCGTTGACCGTAGACACCAGTACTTAGGACCCTACTTATCTTTGCCATTTTCAGTAATGTTGCTACACTGAAGTAAGCAGTTTGTAACCAGAAGGGCAGTGTAAGCAGCTTGGCCTGTCTTCCCTCTCTCCCTGCCAAGATCAAACTCAGAGGCTTGTGTGTGCTAGGCAAGTGCTACTGCTGAGCCATCCAGAAGCATGTCTTTGTTTTGTTTTCCTCACTGGAGTTTGCCAAGACAGCACCAGAGCGTTCTCGCTCACACAGCACCCTGTTCTCAGCCATGATGCAGTGTCTTCCCTACTTCACACAGGACACCTGCTTGGTGTTCCTTACTGTGGGTGCTGGGAACAGAATCTGCATCTTCTAAAAGAGCAGCCAGTCAGTGCTCTTAACTGCTTAGCTGTCTACCCACCCCTACAAGAAATTGTTTATAGAATTTTCTAGATTTAAGTGAATCAATTCACCACACTCCTCCCCCACCCCTTATATTCTAGTCAAGTAATATATAAACTGTTGGGACAAGATTAAACTTTTAAAAATATAAACTTTTATTAGAAGTTAAAAATAGTACTACTCCTTTTTAAAAAGAACATGGTTAGCTTCTTCATATCCTAAATGAAAAGGAATTGAAGGTGGCATGTCAGTGCAGTTTTTGGATTATGTTAAAACTCACAGCTTGAAGTTAGGGAAATAAGTTGCAAAATATTTATTGCTTCTTCCAGTTCAATTGAAGGGTTGATGAATATTTTGAAAACAATTTTTAGTCTTAAAAATGGGAGAATCTATAATATAGTTAAGGGAGAAAATTCCCTGTTAAATCCTTAAAGAATCCCCCCCCCTCTCTCTCTCTCAAGAAAGGCCCACAAGCAAGAATGGCAGTGTGCTTTCACAGCCCCACGGTCTGGAGGGGTGAGGCAGGAGGTTTGGGAGTTCAGGTCTGAGGCCAGCTTAGGCCACATAGTGGGGAGGACAGGCAAGTGAGTGAAGAAAAAGAAGAAATATCCAGGAGATGAAGATGCTAAAAGTAAAGCCTTTCTTGATTTGCAGGGTTTGATCTCGTTGTACACATTAGCTCAGGTGTTAGGGAAAGCTTGATTGTCAGGGAGATGCTTGATTGGCAAAATACTTGCATACCAGTATGAGGTTCTGAGTTTAATCCCTGGCACACACATAAAATCTCAGGCCAGAGGAAGTGCTGACAGGAAGTGGTCTAATCATTGAGGTCCTGTCTCAGAAAATGAGGTGGAAAAGATAGAAGATACTGAACATGCACAAGCGTGTGCCTGCATGTAAACATACACGTGTACATTATGCACGAACTTCAACACAGAAAAGGAAGTGGCGGCATGGATAGATGAAAGAGAATGGGAAGGAGTATATGGAATGCAGATATGTCTGAGCCACTATGGGCCATAGGCTCAGCACATTCCCTCACTCAACGAATGCGCATGCATATTTAAATGCCTCTAATTACACTAAGCTCTTTTAAAGAGGGGTAATTGAGAGGAGTATAGCTCATACCACTCACATACTTCAGAGTAGTTTAGCAGAGCACCTGTATTTTTAACTTTTTCAAAGATGGTCTGGGCTATTCAGTATTGATTTTAACATTACCATTTCTCTTTAATTGTAAAATCAGTTTTCAGTCAGTTCAAGGACACATGCATGTTTTTGATTTGTCATATCTATAGGAACAGGCTCAGAAGTTTTTGTTGTGGCATGCATATTGTGGCCTGATGTTTTTCATTGTCTTTAAATATGTATTGTAGGATTAAAGCATTTGGATTGTGACTCCAATCACCTGGAGACTGTGCCCCCTGACGTGGGCAGCATGGAATCGCTGGAATTGCTTTATTTGCGGAGAAATAAATTACGTGTTCTACCTGAATTTTCTTCCTCTAGGCAACTAAAGGTACTATTTAGTTAATAGTTACACCAGTGTATGTTTTCCAGAGGTTGTTTGTGAAATTGAAGTTTTTAAAAAGTACCTAATCTTTGGTCATCAGTATTCTATGAGTGATGTTTTTCTTTGTTGATAACATTCAAACTTTCAGTCTGCTACTGAGAGTACTGGTAATTTGTTGGTAATGAAAACAAACAATTATTTTCAGGAGTAGGGGTTTGTGTACTTCATGTGGTGGGCTGTAGAAAGGCCTTGTGGTGAGGTGAGGTGAGGGGGAGGTGAGGTGAGGTCTGGGGAGGGGAGAGGAGGGAAGGGTGAGGGGAGGTGCTTTGCTGGATGTACTGTGGGAGGCCCGCACCACAGCAGGGAAGGTGTAGACATCATTTTTTAGGTAACCACCTTTCAGGGTTACCCAGGTGCAGTGACATTTCTAGAATTCCTCTTTTGGCTCTGAGTAACACTAATGCTGCCCTTGTCTGTATTTGCTGTGCCTTAGTTCTCTTTTGGTGTCAGGAAACTTTCTTTTAAATAGTCTCATGGTAATCTTTTAAAGTACTGGGACATTCCATTCACTATGGTAAATTTTTATTGGTAATTTTAGATAACTCTCTAACATACTTGTTACCATGGAACATGGAAACAGTTTTTGAGTGGGTTCATTTGTTTTGAAACTAGTTTTTCATCAGTATTGTGTTTAGATTTATACTTTTATTTCTATAAATGTAATCAATAAACTATTTCTCTGCTTTAGTGTTGTAAAGAATGTTTCTGCCAGGTTAAACAATAATTATTTTGAGATTGTCAGAAGAATGTTTTCCTTTCATATTTTTGCTTTAAAATAGGTTATATCTAAATACCATGATAATTACAATGTTGACTTATCTCTGTGTTGCAATATTTAAAACTAAGAGTATTCACACATTTTCATTTTTTAATGTAAAGCTGAATGAAGTTTCTTGTACCTGGTTTTATAGGAATTGCACCTAGGTGAAAACCAGATCGAAATGTTAGGGGCAGAGCATCTTCAGCACCTGAAGGCCATCCTAGTGCTGGACCTGAGGGGCAACAAGCTGCGATCTGTTCCTGAGGAAATGGCCCTACTACAGTCTTTGGAAAGGCTTGACTTGAGCAACAATGACATTAGTAGGTATGCTTAAAGATTAAAAGGCTAGAAATTAGGATTCATTCTGCATGAGATTGTAATTTGTTTTTGTAAATTCTTAAAAAAGAAAAAAAACTATTAGTTATGTATTGAGCTCATACTGTATACAGAGAAAAATTAGCTTTCTTCCTTGGCAGCCAAGTTAAAATATTAATGGAAAGATGTGTAGACATGTTTCAGAACTTTTTTGTTATTGTTGTTGTTTTGGTTTTCCAAGACAGGGTTTCCCTGTGTAGCCCTGGCTGTTCAGCAACTCACTCTGCAGACCAGGCTGGCCTCAAACTCACAGATTCAGCTGGCTCTGCCTCCCAAGTGCTGGGATTGACGGCGTGCGCCACCAGGAGCTGGCACATTTCAGAACTCTTAAGGGCTGTTTTGAATCTTTTTTTATGCGTGGCTCCATCTCCAGATGCTTATTGTCTATTCCTTGGCAGAGCAAGTGCTTTATGGGTGTCTGTTGGGCTTGGGTGGTGAACGTGGAGTTGAGAGAAACATAAGTGCTTGGCATGGGTGACAAAAGGAGTTATGGTTAAAGAACTGAGACAGGACCAAGGTTAGAGTGAGCAAGCTAGTGCCTGGTGCTGGTGCGCGCACCCCCGAGAGCACGGCCGTGCTCGGTCCCAGGCAGCCCCTGAGTTCTAGCAGCTGATCTGTAACTAGGATGTTACACTTACCTGGCAGGGGAAATACCATGACCACGGAGGTGGTTTTCCCAGGGCGAGACTTATCCATCGCACTCCAGATGTGATGACCCCTATGATTTCCCCAGATGCAGGAAAGTTGACTACATAGTTTGTGGTGGTGGAGAACTGCATTCACTCTCCCCTAAAAATAAACGAATAAATAAATAATAAATGAAACAGGATGTTTGATTTCATGTGAAAGTTGTTGTGTATGATCCATATGTCAGGAGGAGACAACACACAGAGATTTGGGAACCTAAGTAGGGTTCAAGTAGAGAAGTTTAAGAATTTAGGCCGAATCATGTTTGAATTGGTTCAGAACCACCAACACACCATGAAGACATTGCCCTGAACACAAGCCCATTAAAGCAGCCAGTTTATGGTAGCAAATATGATGCTTTGGAAAGGGGTTTGTGGGTGGCAGGCTTTAAAATGACCTGTCAGTTTAGCTCAGTACTGTTTGTCACATTTCTCTGTTCAAAGTGTTGACAGCTGTTTGATGAAGCCCGTGGTGTCGCTGCAGCTGCATTGGGAGGAAGGGGTGGAAGTGAGGGGAGGTGAACCAGGATAGGTTGTCTTTAGTAGCTGATGGCTGACTATGTTGGAGTTGGAGAAGAGCAGAGTAATATGGTGAAAAGTTACAGAACATGATGTTTAGAAAGGACTAGGCTGCAGATCTTAGGAGACGAGACTTGCAGGGTCATACAGCAAGGGCACACATGAGGTTTTGAGCAGGATGAAGAATGAGATGATCAGGATGAGATCTGATTCCCAGCCTTTGTAGCTGTTTGCACACTCCACACTTTGTAACATGAGACTCCTTACTGCTGCTGGAGCTGCTTGTCAGTAGATAACCAGCCTTCTTATGCCCATTTTCCATTGGGTAGCTGTTTGCTAGGTTGGTTTGGGCTCACTTGAAAAGGAGGGAAGGAAAAACCAATTGAGAGGCTCTACTGAATTAGAATCGTACACAGTGAGAGCCTGGAATCTACTCTAGTTTTTGGAGGTGCCCTTCTGTAATTGGGTAGTCTGAGTTGTCATTGGGCTGAGATTGCTCATGGCTGATATGTCAGCATCCCTGTTTGAGCACTAGGCACAGTAGAGCAGATGCTTTATAATGTGTGTCCTTTAGCAGCTTTAGTGTGAAGTTGGAAATTTATCTGGCTGTCCCTTTATATGTTTAGCATTTGAAGGAAAATATTTTAGGACTATTTATGGCTCTTCCTTGAGATATTACATGATATATTGTTGTTATTTGTTACTCTATAGTCATGCCTTTGATTGCAGTAGGCTTACGTGTAATGTTTCCCTGAAATCAATCTGTTCTGTAGTCTGCCCTGCTCTTTGGGAAACCTTCATTTGAAATTCTTGGCACTAGAAGGAAATCCTCTAAGAACCATTCGAAGAGAAATTATAGCTGTAAGTACTATTAGAATTCAGCACCTTATTTTTAATTTAAGATTTAGATATACTTGTTGATGCGCAAAATTTCCAAGTATGTCTTGCTAACAGTGACCCTCCTCTACCTTTCAGAAAGGAACTCAAGAAGTCCTAAAATACCTGCGAAGCAAGATCAAAGGTACTGCCAAAGGTGTTTTGAAGGAAAGTATAAACAATGATGATGTTAATGGGACATTCTAGAGGAAGAGGGCCTGGTGATCGTGGTATAGTTCTGTATTCATACAGGCTGTCATATAAGATGCTTGAGGGGCTGGAGAGAGAGCTGAGCAGTTCAGAGCACTGGCTGCTCTTGAAAGGACCCAGACTTGTTCCCAGCATCTACGTGGCAGCTCACCAGGGAAACCAATGCTGTCCTCTGACCTTTGCAGGTACCAGGTGTGCACATGGTACACATACATACATGCAGGCAAAATGCTTATATACATAAAACAAAAAAAAACCTATTTTTAAAAGTTCTTGAACTCATGATTGTGAGGTTGTGCCCTTTGGATTTGTGTTAAAATCTATCAGTTATTAAGAGACATTACAAAGTTTAATGTTTTCCTTTATTTTTTATTTTGTGCATATGGATGTTGTTTGCATGTATGTATATAAATATGTGATTGCAATGGCTGCAGAGGCCAGAAGAGGGCTTGGGTTCTCTGGAAACTGGAGTTACAGATGGTTATGACCCATTGTGTGGGTCCTGGGAACTGAATCCAGGTCCTCTGCAAGAGCAGCCAGTGCCCTTAACCACTGAGCATCTCTTCAGCCCCTAATAGAGTAGTTTGCTAATTATATATCTAGCACTATAGCTCTGAAAAAGGAGTAAGCTTTATTTTGAAAAAACTTGTACCCTGGGTTCTGACTTGTAAGTGTATGGGTAGGATTTCAGTGTCTGCTCTCCACTTGTGGAAAAAGTTATGCAGCAAAGCATTAACACACACCACAGATGAGAGCTGTAGAAGGAAGTTTCTGTCTCACCCAGTCCCACAGCCGTTTAGTCCCAAAAACATACTGAGCCTTATATTAATATAAACTGCTTGGCCAATGGCTTGGGCTTGGCTATCTATCTCATAATTATTAACCCATTTCTGTTACTCTATGTATTTCCACTTGGTCTTGGCTTACCAGTGATGCCAGGCCTCTTGCTTTCTTAGCAGCTACATGGCCTCTCTCTCTCTCTCTCTCTCTCTCTCTCTCTCTCTCTCTCTCTCTCTCTCTCTCTTCATTCCTCTTCCCAGAATTATCCTAATCTGGTCACCCTGCCTATTCTCCCTGCCTGGCTACATCCTACCTCTCTATTAGGTGAAACAGTTCTATTCATCAACCAATAAGAGAAACATAGATTCACAGCCTACAGAAGGACATCCCCCATCATCTCTTTTCTGTCTAAATAAAAAGGAAGATTTTTAATTTTAACAGGAAAATTATATACAACAAAACAGTTATCAAGCAAGAACTGTAGTCAAGAATATTTAGTCTATTCACATTTGGCAAAATTTAAAGAAAATTTTCTATCATCAGTCCTGTCTTTGTGAGTCTAAAGTTTTCTGTGTAATTTACATTTTACCATAACTAAGGAAAGCCATAACCCTAACTATCTGTCTTCAACTCCACCAAAGACCTCAGAAGGATAATATATAAACGAACTGACAGAGACATCTCAATGCCTGGTCAGTCACTCAGAGTTTCTCAGTAATGTTGGGGCATCCCTCTTCAGCCTATAGGTCTAGAATGGCAGATTTTTTGATGAGGCAGGAACCTTGAAGGATCATCCTGTCTCTTGGCAAGTTCAGCAGTCACTTTTCTTTGTAACCTGCTGTCCAGTTTGGACAATGTGCTGTCAAGCAGTCCAGGCAAGAGCAGTTTCTTGTCCAGATGGGTATTCCTGCCATGTGGAAGGCAAACTCCATTGACGAGTTTCTTTGCTGTCCATCTTTCTTTCTGACGTAATTGGTGTTGCTAGGGGCGATTGTGTCTTATTGTTATGAAAAACTGTAGTAAACCATTTTAAGTGTCAGTCTGTAGGCCTTTGAAAAGTTTTGAAGAATACCTCTCCATTTGAAATGTATCTCTGTATATCTAGAAAACCTAACTAACATAATTTTGACTATTATAGGTGACTATAATTGTATTTGATTATACATTACATTTTTAAAAGTTATGTAAACATAATACCTAAACAAGAGTAGAAATATACATATAACAAAATTGACTTTCAGTTTGAATCAATAAGTCAAAAGCCATATCAATACAAAGTATTCATTCCTATATTGCATTCCCCTCCCCCCTTTTTTTTCCTTTAAAAAGAGATTGGCTGTGATCATTAACCATTTATATCCAACCCTATTTAAGTGAAAATAAATATTTTTAAACAGTATTTGGGAGTTAGGACATCGTTCTCTCCAAACTGCTTCCTGTTGTTTGGGGGCACTGTCAATACCATGAGGATCCTGAGAAAACCCAGAATCCTGGCCAAATCCTGGCTGTAATAGTCTGAGGCTGAATGGTTTCAGCTGTTTTGGATGTTGGGTCACCTGGGGCACTGCTTCAAGGGGTCTTACTTAGTCAAACCATATTAGTCTGGAAGGAGTCCACAGCTTTTCATTTTCTGTGGAAACAAAAGCAGAATCTCTTTCCAAAGTAACATGTCCTTAGACTTAAATTTTGAAGTCAAGGCATTTTTCAAAATAGTTAGGTTGAATTAATCCAGCAGCATTTATAATCAAATGTATTTTAGCAGCTGTTGTTCCTTTCTTAGCAGTCAAACAACGGAAAGAAACATAATAACATACAGTTTCCAGACTCACATATATTCACAGCGTACGAAAAGATATACCCCATCAGAGAGCAATGAATTCAGTTTGGGTTTTCACAATATACTAAGTTTTTTATTGTTTGAGACAGGGTCTCATGATAAGTCCAGGCTGTCCTGGAACTTACTATGTAAATGAGGCTGGTCTCCAACTCATAGAGAGTCTCCTGCCTCTGCCTTCCAAGTGCTGAGAATAAAGGCACCATTGTTAACTTCTTAATATCTTAATATGTTGCTGACAGTATGATATCTCAGCTTGTATTTCATGTTCATCGTTTTAGTGTAAACTAGAAATTGAAGAACAAACTAGTTCTGCTAATGTATCACTGTGTAACAAACCACCCAGAACTTGACTTGCTACTGTGTGGGTCATGTACATCCCGTGTACATGTGTGGAGGTCAGAGGACAGCTTGTAGTTAGTTCTCATCTTCCACCATGTTGTTTCTAGGATCAAACTCAGGTTGTCAGGCTTGGTGGCATGCACATGTATCTGCTGAGCCATCTTGCCAGCCCCAAGATTGGTGTTTTTTGTTTTTTTTCTTGGGTGCTTGGTTTTAAATTTTTACTTATTATTACTATGTGTAGGAGGGAAAGCTCTCATGTCAAAGTCAAAGGTGACTTTCAGGACTGTTTTCTCCCTTCAACTTTACATGGGTTCCTGGGATGGTCAACAAGTTTGTTTCAAAGGCCCCTTTTACCTATTGAGCCATCTCACCAGCCCTCAAATTTTTATAGGTTTAAAAACAAAACAACCAAGTGTTGGCATATTGGTGCATATCTGCAGATGCATCACTTGGGGGCAAGTTAAAAGTCCTCCTTCTCTGCACAGTGCATTCCTGGATATGTGTGAGGCCAGCCTATCTCCAAAAAAAAAAAAAAAAGCC